CAGACAAACTTACAGAGATTGAGTTTTATTTATATAGATTGTGTTCAAAACCCTCAATTTTTTTACCGCTCTAAAAAATTTTGAATCTTGATCTTTCAAAGTTCATTTGGTTTGATACGAAATACTTTGCTGCACTGTTCTGTAGAGTTCAGTGAAAAAATCCTTTTACAAACTTATTTTTCTTCCTCTTTGGGCGAAACATGACTCGGTAACAGAAAGGACATTGACTTCGAGTTTTTCAAATAAAATTTTATCATTATCTTAGAAAAATTCAAATTAATTATCACGATAGAAGTTTGTGACTTTTCCTTTTGTAGTTGCCATTCTGTTGTATGTTATGGCTCCACATTCACACTAAAGCATTTCCATTCAATAGTTCTAAATTTGCAGAACGCTTATAATGTCAAAGTCACCTGTCGCTCGCGGAGACAAAGACCTCTCCAGATCCTTTTGTCACAGCTGGCTTTGTCTCTTTTATCAATGGTAACATCTCAGGCATCTCGATCGTACACTCCTTGTCTTGTTCTTCCTCGTGATCTTCTCCATCTCCATGTTCTTCTTGGATGTTCCATGCTGTTTCACCCTTGACAAAAAATCTTTAGAGGAGAGTCTTTCATTGATCAAGCTAGCTCTCTCCCACCTCATAAAACTCGTCTCCCCATTCTGCGAGTAGTAATGCTTTCTTACGCTGCAATGACCGTTGATCTGCTGCAATTTTCCTTCTGTTGGCGAAGAAACTCATCACTCCTACCACGCCGAGCAGAAATACCATGGTTACTACCAATGTCGGCACCATGACAAGTTTACTCTGCGACAGCTCGAATTTTCAGAGGTTCATCTCGCTTGATTGCTATAGTGACAAACCTTGAGTGCTTTTCCAATTAACTTCAGGGATTTGTACCGTGACCTATCGGCGAGGAAAAATACCGGTCCCCAAGCCATCGCAAGAGCTTCCATGAACGAAACCATTTCCGTTTCATCAGTTACTAAACTTCACCAGTCATGTCTGTTTACAGTAGAAAACACGATGTTCTCAGCAAATCGGTCCTTAAAATCATCGTGCCACTGTACTACTATAACTTGATGTCAGTGGCGGTCGCAGGATTTCCGTCCGGGGGG